TCCCAGCCCGGGAATTGTCCCATCCCAGCCCGGGAATTGTCCCATCTCATCCTGGGAATTGTCCCATCCCATCCCGGGAATTGTCCCATCCCAACCCGGGAATTGTCCCATCCCAGCCCGGGAATTGTCCCATCTCAGCCCGGGAATTGTCCCCAGCCCGGGAATTTGTCCCCAGCCCAGGAATTGTCCCATCTCATCCCGGGAATTGTCCCATCCCATCCCGGGAATTGTCCCCATCCCATCCCGGGAATTGTCCCATCCCATCCCGGGAATTTGTCCCCATCCCGGGAATTGTCCCATCCCATCCCGGGAATTTGTCCCCATCCCGGGAATTGTCCCCATCCCATTCCTGGAATTGTCCCCAGTGCCATCCCGGGAATTCTGATCAGTTTGGCGCCAGGACAACCCCAAAATGTCCCTAAATGTCACCTGGGGGGCCTGGGGACATCCCGGGAATTGGGGCCACCCCATGGACGCCCCGGCTCGGGAATGTCCCCAAGGGCCCCAGGGCGGTGAGGGGACAGCCGAGGCTGGCTCTGCTCCCGGGATCGGGATCGGGATCGGGATCGGGAATTGGGATTGGGAATTGGGATTGGGAATTGGGATTGGGATTGGGAATTGGGAATTGGGATTGGGATTGGGAATTGGGAATTGGGAATTGGGAATTGGGATTGGGATTGGGATTGGGATTGGGATTGGGATTGGGGATTGGGGATTGGGGATTGGGGATTGGGGATTGGGATTGGGAATTGGGAATTGGGATTGGGGATTGGGATTGGGAATTGGGAATTGGGATTGGGAATTGGGATTGGGAATTGGGAATTGGGATTGGGGTGGGGATGGGGATTGGGATGGGGATCAGGAATTGGGGATTGGGATTGGGATGGGGATTGGGATCACATTTGGGATTGGAATCAGGATTGGGATCAGGTTTGGGATTGGGATTGGGATCAGGATTGGGATGTGGATTGAGGTCACATTTGGGATTGGGATTGGGATCAGGATTGGGATCAGCATCAGAATCAGGATCAGGATCAAGATCAGGATCAGGATCAGGATTGAGATCAGGATCGGGATTGGGATCAGGATTGGGATCAGGTTTAGGATTGAGTTTGGGATTGGGATCAGGATCAAGATCGGGACTGGGGTCAGGATGGATCAAAGAGGTTCTGGTGGGTGCCACCCAGCAGTGGCACTGTCACCGGCTGTCCCCGGCTGTCCCCGGGTGTCACCGGCTGTCACCGGCTGTCCCCGGCTGTCCCCGGGTGTCACCGGCTGTCCCTGAGTGTCACCGGGTGTCCCCAAGCATCACCGGGTGTCACCGAGTGTCCCTGGGTGTCACTGGGTGTCCCTGAGTGCCACTGGATGCCACCGAGTGTCCCCATGTGTCCCCAAGTGTCACCGGGTGTCCCTGGGTGTCAGTGGATGTCACTGGATGTCCCCGAGTGTCACCGGCTGTCCCCGGGTGTCACCGAGTGTCCCTGGGTGTCACCAGGTGTCACTGGGTGTCCCTGAGTGCCACTGGATGTCACCGAGTGTCCCCGTGTGTCCCCGGGTGTTCCCGGGTGTCCCTGGATGTCACTGGGTGTCCCCAAGTGTCCCCGGGTGTTCCCGGGTGTCCCTGGATGTCACTGGGTGTCCCCAAGTGTCCCCGAGTGTTCCCGGGTGTCCCTGGATGTCACTGGGTGTCCCCAAGTGTCCCCGGGTGTTCCCGGGTGTCACCCCCGGCACTGCAGCCCTGGCAGCTTTTCCTGGGGTTTCCCCCGTGCCAGGAGGGAAAATTTGGGATTTGTGCCTCCCTTCCCAAAAATCCGCTGGGAATCAGAGCCCGACCCCTCCCTGGTCCTTGTCAGGGTGAGCCCAAACCCCAAATCCAAATCCCAAATCCCAAATCCCAAATCCCAAATCCCAAACCCCAAATCCAAATCCCAAATCCCAAATCCCAAATCCCAAATAAAAAACCCCAAATCCCAAATCCCAAACCTCATCCCAAACCCCCAAACCCCAAATCCTAAATCCTAAATCCCAAACCTCATCCCAAATCCCAAATCCCAAATCCCAAATCCCAAATCCTAAATCCTAAATCCCAAACCTCTTCCCAAATCCCAAATCCCAATTCCCAAATCCCAAATCCCAAACCCCAAATCCCAAATAAAAAACCCCAAATCCCAAATCCCAAACCTCAAACCCCAAACTCCAAATCCCAAACCTCATCCCAAATCCCAAATCCCAAACCCCAATTCCCAAACCCCAAATTCCAAACCCCAAATCCTAAATCCCAAACCCCAAATCACAAACCCCAAATTCCGATTCCCAAACCCTAAATCCCAAACCTCATCCCAAATCCTAAACTCCAAATCCCGCTTTAGGATCCCAGCAATCCCAAATCCCAAACTCCATTCCCAAAATCCCAAAGCCCATCCCAAAGCCCATCCTCAAACCCATCCCAAATCCCACTTTGGGATCCCACAAATCCCAGATCCCATCCCAAATCCCACCTCTGGTCTGGGAGCTGGGAATGGGATTGGGGTTTGGGATTTGGGATTTGGGATTTGGGATTTGGGATTGGGGTTTGGGATTTGGGATTTGGGATTTGGGATTTGGGAT